CATATTAAATAGATCCAAAAGAGCAGTTGAAAACACCATTAATGATTATTTTAATAAAAATAAAACAACTGCAGCTCTTAGGACTGGCAGACCTAAAAACTTATCAACTCGTGATGAAAGACAGCTTGTGAAAGCAGTAAGAAAAGTCCCCAAAACAACTGCCAATCAATTATCCAAACAACTTGAAGGATTAAACATTATAGCAAGTGAAAAGACTGTGAGGCGAACTTTACACGCTAAAAATATTTATGGTAGAAAGGCTGTAAAGAAGCCATTAATTTCTGAAATAAATAGGAAAAAAAGATTATTTTGGTGTCATGCAAGAAAAAATTGGGGAAATGAATGGGATAAAATTATATTCGGTGATGAGAGTAGGTTCTTACTATTTCAAAACAATTCAAATGATTGGGTTTGGAGAATGGCAGGAGACAAATATAAAAAAAATTATTTAAGTCCAACAGTAAAACAATCTGATGGAACTATGGTTTGGGGTTGTTTTACAAGAAGAAAAATGGGTCCGTTAGTATTAGTTGAAGGTAAATTAAATGCAAGTAATTATAATAACCTTCTTGCAGCCAATTTATTACCTTTTATTAACGAATTAAGTAGAGAAGATCACCATAATGATGGTGATGGTGTATTTATCTTTCAAGAAGATAATACACCATGTCATAAAGCAGCTGTTGCAAACATATGGAATGAAAATAATAACGTCATGGTTCTCCCCTGGCCTGCTCAAAGCCCAGACCTCAACCCTATTGAAAATTTTTGGCAGGATTTAAAAAGAAGACTTAGATTAAAAAACTATAAATCAAAAAATAAGAAAGAGGAGTGGTTTAATACTAATCCAGAAAAAATTAATAAATTAATAGATAGTATGCCATGAAGGGTTGATGCTGTTTTAAAAAGTGGAGGAAACCCGACAAGATATTAATTTTTTTTTAATAAAATACAATTAATTTAAAGTAGTTTCATATTTTTTTTGATGTCTTTTATGTTTCAAATTAGTGAGCAGTTTGAGGTTGAATTGTTTTGTGAATTTTTTTACGATTTATTTTTTCTCTCATTAATTAATCTACCAAATGCTCTAAAATTTTAGAAGTAACTAGATTTAAACATGAGAAACATTTTTCACTTATACCACAAAGGTCGTTAGAACTTGCTAATGTGGTCAATTTTTTGAGTTAAAGATTTTTAAAAAAATTCCGGAATTTTATTGTTTATCTTTTAAAGTTTGTAAAACAACAATGGTTTAATTGTATGTGGTAAAACTTCAGTATATTATAGTATTTGATATGAAGATAAATTTTTACTTAATAAGCAAGTGTGATTGGGATAGTAAATTTTTTAGTTTTTGTCATGTCACTTTATTCAATTATTTGCAATGATCTGCAGGTGTCCCTATACTTTTGTCCAGTGAGTGTATTCGATTTAGCGGATTTTTTTTTTAAATCAATATGTTCAAGCATAATAAAAATATCTCAATACAATGGATAATGTTGATCATTAACTAATACAGGCACCAAACGTAATTAAATATTAATGATGATGAAATTCTAAATTAGAAATCTTCTGATACAAAAAATCTTTGATAGATTTATAATAAACTAGAGGATTATTTTATGAATGAATAAATTTACTACTTATTATTGTTACATTTTATTATCATATGTATATTTTATTTGTCATATGTATTATCATATTATTTATTTTATTGTATTATATAGTATCAGTCAGTCAAGATTTCACGCGATCGACATGTCTACTGTCATAGCTATGTAAAATTTTTGTGAAACATGTCAATTTTTACTATTAAAATCGAAAGAACTTTTTACTCGTCACTAGTACATCCACATGTAATTTTTAACAAGGAATGTGATATTTTGTACACACATTCTTTGAGATTTTATTTTATTCCTTGTAAAATTTTAGATATGGTTTCATAAAAAAACGATAAATAATTAGCAGTTAGAAGTTATACATTTTTAAATAAAATATTAATAAAATGAAAACTAATAATAAGTAGTTGATTATATAATTTTTTAATATTGTAATTATATTCTTACTGATAAACTTAGCCTTTTGTTTATAAAAATAGATATTGCAAGACTCATTAAAGGATACATACATACACGTTTTTAAATAATGAATGATAAGAATGGTCGCAAAATGTTGTTCCAATAATTACAACACTGCCCTACAAAAAAGAATAAGGAATTAATGTATGTTGAATACATTTTTAGTATTAAGAAAAATATATGATATAAATAATGAAAATAAATTCTCTGTGATTTAATATTTTTTTTTCTTCTAATTGTTTAATGTAATATTTATAATTAACTTAGCCTTTTGTTTATAAAAATAGATATTGCAAGACTCATTAAAGGATACATATATGCACATTTTTAAATAATGAATGATAAGAATGGTCGCAAAATGTTATTCCAATAATTACAATGCTGCCCTACAAAAAAGAATAAGGAATTAATGTATGTTGAATACATTTTTAGTATTAAGAAAATATATTGTATAAATAATGAAAATAAATTCTCTTTGTGATTTAATATTTTTTTTTCTTCTAATTGTTTAATGTAATATTTATAATTACTATATACATAATAGTGACAATTGCAGAAGAAAGAAAATTTAGGCTGTTATTATTATTATTATTTATTATTATTTTTTAATGATTGGTTATTATTGAAGTCTTTCTTTAGCAGATAAAGGAATTAAGTACATTGTCA